CCTTTCGCTCTGCTGGTATGAACCCTTGCACGAACCCAAACAATTTCATCAGCTTTTAGTACTGTCAGGTCTCTAACCCGAACCAAAACTCGATCTGTAGCAAGCAAGTAAAACAATTTTGTAATTCAGATATTACAAAAAGATAATTAAAGACAGTTAATAGAAATACTTTCTATTATCTTAAACAATTCTCAATCTTTGACAACATCGTCTTCTCTATTACCTTTCATATATGTTTTGGAAATTACCAACAACTAATTGCCACTGAGTTGAAATACTCAAGTTAACTCTCCAGCAGGCTTCTGGAGGTTTGAATCACACAGGAAGGAGACTGCTCACCTTTTTCCTTTGGAGCAGCTGGTAGATTTGAGCTGCTAGAGGTGCTACCTTTGCGTTAGCAGTGCAACTCCCACCAGAGATCCCTTTGTGAACTACACTTCTAGCTAAAGGGCGAGTTGTCCACCAGGCTTGGAAAATCAAAAGTACTCCATCTCCCAGAATACAGGGACTTACCCAGGTGGGGTTATGTTACTCAAACTAAGAAATTTATATATACAGACTCTGGAAATGGAACTCTTTTTTTCCTGGGCTTGTCAAGCTGAGATGGCACAGGTTCAGTTTTCTCATCACAGGGCTACAGTCACTATCTTTCCAGCTAGGAGTTAGCAGGAAAAGAGACTGAATAAATAGGATCAAAAGATGGAGAAAGAAGGTCTAATAATGTTCCTTGAGCTCCTAAACCTAACTTCATTAGATTCTCACACTTTGTTTCCAAGTTATAAAAGACAATTTGGCTGCAAATGAGTGCTAACTATTATGCCCTCAATATTCGTAATGATGATTAATGCATAGTATTGCATTACAATCTATCTGGAGTCCTCCACACAAAAAAACTTGAGAAAACTGAAAATACTGATACAAAGAAGACCAAGAAAGAAATTTTTTATTGTTTAAAATTTGAATATGAACATTGAGAAAAAAATTAAGAACTCATTTAAAACACAGTAATAGACACAACATCCAATGCTGAATAATAAAAGATCCCTATTCTCATTGTAAAATGGGACCACCACTCTGGAAAGCAGTTTGGCATTTTCTCAAAAAGCTGAACACAGAAATTCTGTATGACCTAGCTCTTCCACTGTTTGGAATATACCCCGAGAAAATTAGTAACTGAGGCACAAATGTAGATTTATACACCAATGTTCACAGCAGCATTATTCACCATCATAAGAACATGGAAACAGTCCAAATGTCCAACCACAATTGAACGGACTGAGAAATTATGGGATAGTCACACAATGGAATACTATGCAGCATGTAGGAGCAATGAATTTGGAAATCACTACCTAATATGGGAGGGACTAGAGAGTACCATGCTAAGTGAACTAACTCAGTTCTATAAGGATAAATATTGCATAAGACCAATATTATAGAAATACAAAGTAGTAAAAACATGTGTGAGGATCCAAGTAGAGGAGGGTGGGAGCAAAGTGGTGAGGCTAGGGGGTGGGGGGTAATCACAGGGTCACACAATCTGATGGGTGGAGGGAGTGGTGAGTAAAGAAAGTGAGAAAGATCTGGTGTGAAAAATAATGTATATGAACTCTGTAAGTAAACCAGTATAAAATAAAAAATATATTAAGAAAAAATCCTTATTCTCAAATGTTACAGTCTTGTAACCAAGCCAGACAGTCTAACACGTAGCCAGTGAGAGTTATAACAAAGGGCAAGTTACTGAACATATCTTAACCTTGGTTCCATCAAGTTTTCAAAGACAGTATGAGAGTTCAGTGAGAAAATGAATGTTTGAAAGGACATGGAAGTATAGGAAGGGGATACCGGTGGTTCAGTGAGAGAATTCCTGCCTCTCCCATGGGATATCTGAATCCCATTCCAGACCAATGTAGCTAATGTACAGCTAACACTCATCTGTCAATGGCAGTGAATATGCTGCTCTGATGCTGAACAGGTTTCAGTAGAGCAGAGATTTCAGAGACCAAGAATGGCTATAAAACCCGCTTGGGGATCTAATAATGAACACCAGGCAATGCAAACACTGTGCAACAGTCTGACCTGTAACTGATCATGGGGCTGACACAGGACTGGGCAGCATGCTGTTCTACTGTACACAGGCCTGTCTTGAGTTGAGGGCCAACTTGATGGCTAACCGGCAGCGTGGGACTTTAATAAATAGCCAAAAAAGGTCACAGAAGCTAAGCTAATGAGGAAAAGTGAAACATGTTAGTTTCAGTAAAGCATGCAAAAAGGATGCATATGATGGAGGAGATTATGGCAACCACTTCTCTTCTGTCTCCTATCCCAGCTTCAAATATCATGCTTACTCAACTCAGGAAAATTCAATGTATAACCTACAACATAAAATGTTAACACTTAACTTATAGAATTCACTGAAAACCTTTTTATTAGTTTCCTAAATTAGGGACTCTAACCTGAGAATGTTTAAAACAAGTGCTGACACTACACAGGTTTGTGGCACCTACCTGACTCGAGTGATTCAGCTCTTTTGTGTTAGGTCCCTAGAACCTATACCACTCAAAACTTCATCAAGAGATTCCTTGGGATGAAACAAACCAAAAACCCCCAAAGCTTTATTAACACAGGAGAGCTACTAACCTGGTTTTTCTTGAGACTGAATCATTGAAGATTCTCCATATCTTTCTTTAGCATAATCCTATAAAAAGTTTTTTGCATTATTTGTTTTTACTCAAAAGTCAGGGTAAATAAATAAACAGAAATAACAGAATAAAAATCAATCCCCTTTAAATTTCAGAATCTGCCACACATCATTTACATATACACTCTATAGAAAAAGAAAAAGTGTGCACCTTTTACAGTTTGTAAAATGTGTTTTGGTGATCAACATTCCTGGGTGAATTTATCATCAGCACTGACAGATAAAATTTACACACATGTACAGCACGTTTTAACTACCTTCTTCAAAAGAAGAGATTAAATCACTTCAAAGCAGGGATACAGACTTCCACTTGAAGGAGGTAGGATGAAATACCAGTTTTATTAACTTCCTATTACAGGAAGAGATGTTCAAAGAAAACTAACATTTTGGGTAAGCTTTCTGAACACCAGATGGGCCACAGCTTTTAGAAATCGGAGACAGCGGATGTAAACTAGCTACAACTTTTCTTTTGTAAAACATTCACTAGTTTCCTCTTTCTAAAAATTAAGTCTACACCACCACCAGTATACTACATACTACAAATTGCTCCACACTGATAGTACGGTATCTCATAAAGGATAAAGACATAAAGGGCAAGGATATGAAGACTTAGGGTCCTATCATTAATAAACTATGCTTTAAAATGAAAGCAGTAAATTTTATTTTAATCTTACTTTACTTCTAAAAGAAACTTTTAAGGTTCTTGTGGCTATAAAATTACCTCTGCCACAATTTACACATTACATCTACAAGGTGCAAAGTTAATTTAACTAACTAATCAGGTTAAGAGTACACTAATTTTCATAGGTTTTATAGAGTAATTTAAGATCTGTGTAAAACAACTTGTCACTCTGTTGCAACCTTTGGAATAATCTTCTATAGATCTGAAGATAGTAGATTTTGTGTTTATACCAAAATAGAAGCATATCATGGTATTTACTGACTTAGCAATTTATGTACGTGCGTGAGAACATAAAAAAATATACATCTATTCGTGAGAACATAAAAAAATATACATCTATGAACGCAGATGCTTGGGCTCTGCTAACATAAAAATTAGGATAAAGTAAAAAGGTCATCCCTTCTAATGAGTAGTGTTCCCATTTCAACAAAACTTAACTCCCTTTAGCATTCTGAGCTAGCCTATTTATTTCGAAAGTCAGCATAAATCAGAACTCTATTAAAAATAGAGCAGCTAGACATGGATTAAGGTTCACTATTACTGCAGCACACCCAGTGTGTAGGATCTCACTAATTTCTGGGGAAAAAAACACACTTAAAGGGTGTTGTTACAAATGACCACCTTTTTTTGAAGGCCACTTCACCTATAAGACCTTTTTCTGCAGTCCTCCCACACACACACACACCCCCCTCACTGGATCAGTGAGTGGGAGGCAATAAAGCAAAATGTTCTTTTAAAGATGTTGTCTAGAAAATGGTCATTAAGTACATTGGCAGGTGGTTTTTGCTAAGTACTGTCATTACTTAAAAAAAATAAAAAAATTAGCACCAGAGTACTGATTTTCGGAGGGCATTTACTTTGTCCAGGGAGAGCATGTTACGAGCAGAACTTGCCACTCAAGGAGACTTAAACAGGACCCTACTTCCGGGTGGGGTTGGACGTCTCGTTCACACCACTGCAGAGGGTCCCGGGGAGCAAGGCAGTCCAGGGGGCGTTTGGTCAAGCTGCTCAAACGTCTTTAGAGGCCCGAGGTGGACTGTGGGCTCGCAGCCTGCAGGAAAGCTATTGACAGGGACCCCGAGGCCAGCACCCGGCACACCCTCCTCCCCCGCCCTCAGCGCAGTCGCGCCCTGGGATCTGCCTTTCCAGGCCTGGTAGGAGAAAACCCACTTCCGCCGCGTCCATGATCTCCCGCGGCTTCTCCTGACCCTTGCGGCTGGCGTTGGCGCTGGGCATCGGGACTACGGGACAGGGCAGTAGCAGGGACAGCGTTCAACACCCTCCCTTCTCAGGCTTCCGTAAGGCAAACCAAGGGAGCTTCTCCCTCCCGACCAGTCTCCACCCTCCCGGCACACGTGCTCGGACTCCGCGTGGACAAGCAGCTCCCGGAAGATCGCGAGATCCAGAGATATCGCGAGGTTTGGGGGTGTAGCGAGAGGGCTGCCGTTAGGCAACACCAATTGCTCTTCATCTTGCCCCGCCTCCACGGGAGTCCCTTGATGGGTGGAGTTGGCAGGGGTCCCGGGAATTCGTTAGAGTCTCGCGGGATCGCTGACCGTTGGGTCTCAGTAACTGGCGGCTCGCGCACTGTCTCTGCTGTCAATGACCGTGAGCAGAGTCACTCTTCTATGCCAGTTGCGGTCTCAGCTCTGCCCTGCTTGCTCTCCTAGATGCTTCCTTTCAGCTTTAATCGCAGAATTCGGTAAAAATACCGCCTTTGCTCAGTCTCTGCTTCTCCTTGCTTGACTTAACCTGTCTTCGTTGTTCCTGGCACAGGGTCGCAGTCTGAGGTTGTAGGCTGCCTCGTTTCAAGTCTTCTGATTTAGGTTTAGCCTAGAGAGGGTGAACCAAGGCTGCTCCTTGGAGGCAAGGATTTTGAAGTTCCGTCTCACATACTTTGGGCATATAGCCAGGAGGGAACAGTCTTTGGAGAAGAACATCATGCTTGGAAGGATGGAGGGACAGTGCAGGAGAGGAAGACCCCCCGGTGAAACAGATTGGCACAATAAGTGGGGTAATGGAGTAGGGGTGTCAGAGACAGTGAGTTTGGCTGAGGATAGAGAGGGTTCAGAGCTATTGTGCATATAGCGTCGCTATGAGTCGTTGGCGATTGGACAACACATAACAACAACAGTTTGCCATGGTGGAATAGGATACTGGTATTCTAGTGAGAAGGTGCACTGCATTCCCTATGGCATGTTGTTAGAATACACCAGCTGCTCAAATGGAAAAGGATGGGCAATCTCCCTCCTGTACTTAAAGGTTCTGTGAAGGCTGCATAGTGGAGTGGACCTGGGGGGGAGAGATTGCATAGCAATGAAAGAATTTTTCTTTTCAAGGAGAAGAGTGAATTGGGGGGAGGGGGTGGGTAGGGAGAAAAGTGCAACAAGGAATGACTGGAAACCCTAAGTCTTTGTAAACTTTCATTAAAATTAATTTTTTTTAAAAAAGGCTCTGTGTTAGTGGAAAGGTCCGGTGCACCAGTTCTCTCTCACTCTGATTGCCTAGCTTTACTACTTCAGGGAAGGTGTGCTCCCATGCCTGACGTCACATACCACCGTTTTAGACACCTTCATTAAAATCCCTGTAGGAAGTTTTTCTTCATGTGGGAGCAGGGGTCAGCACACCTCAGGAGTCTGAGTGCACACTAGGGGATGTTGCATCCTCTTAAGACCCTGACTGTATGAGAGGTAAAATCAGTCTATTAGTACTAAAAAGGAATAGTCAACACTGAGAAACTTTAGGAAGTCTCATATGAACAAGAACCAATGGTAACAAAGGAAGCAGTTCAAGCTGTGTTGAAGACACTGGCAAAAAATAAGGTCCTAGGAATTGAAGGGATACCAATTGACATGCTTCAACTAACAGGTGCAACCCTCTACTTGCTCATTGGTCTATTCGAGGAAATTTGGAGGACAGCTGCCTGGCCAACTTGGAAGAGATCCATAATTATTCCCCTTCCCAAGAATGGTGATTAAACAGAATGTGGAAATTATTGACCAATACCTATAATAACACATGCAAGCAAAATATTGCTAAAGGTCATCCAAAAATGACTAGAATATTATACTTGACACGGAACTGCCAAAGTGGGGTTTAGAAGAGACCACAAGGATATCATTGCTGATGTCAGATGGATCCTGGAAGAGAGTACTAGAAGAATGTCTCTATATATATTTTATTGACTATGCAAAGACATTTGTATGGATCACAACACATTGTGGCTAACACTGAGAAGAAAGGGACTTTTAGAACACTTAATTAAATCTACACCTAGATCCAGAAGCCAAGATCCATCTAATATTAGCTATAATAATCTTAGTACCATGGCCTCTTTTAAACCCAGGCTACACTTCTGGCAGTTCCCTGTTGATGTGCCATTCCAGTCATTTTTGGATAATTTTCAGCAGAATCCTGCATGTGATATTAATGATATTATTTGATTATTTCTGCGCCCAGTTGGATCACCTTTCTTTGGAATGAGAACAAATAAGGATTTCTTCCAGTCAGTTTGACAGGTGGTTGTCCTCTAGATTTCTTGGCACAAGTTGGTGACCACATCCAGGGCAGTATCTATTGAAATATGTCAGTTGGTATGCTATCAATTCCTTGGCTCTTGTTTTTTTTAAATTCAGAGTAGCTTGAACTTCATCACCACAGGCTCTTGCTCATACATTGTTTTATTAAATTATTCTGTATCTGCCAATTCCTTTTGATACATTGGCTCTATATACGCTTCCCATCTTCTCATGCTTCCTGGATCATTTAATATTCTGCCCAAAGCATCCTTAAGTATTGAAACTTGAGGCTTGATTCTTAAGAAATGCTGAGTGAGTTCAGTCCTTTAGATTTTCTGACTTCCCCCCTCCCTTTTCCAGCTTTTTGCACATTTCATTATAATACTTTACTTTGTCTTCAATGTTAGATGGATCTTGGCTGAAAATGGAGAGTTACAAGTGGAATGTCTACCAGTGTTTCATTGACTATGCAAAGGCATTTGTCTGTGTGGATCACAACAAACTGTGGCTAACTCTCAGAATAATGGGAAGCCCAGAACACTTGATTGTGCTTATGTGAATCCTATACTTGGGCATTCATCAGAACCGAGTAAGGAAACACTGCATGGTTCAAAATCTGAAAGAATGTATGCCAGGGATGTGTCTGTCTCCATACCATTTCAATCTATATGCAGAACAAGATCATCCAGTAGGCTGGACTATATGAGGAGAAATGTGACATCAGGATTGGAGGAAGACTCATCAACAACCTGCGTTATACAGATGACATAACCTTGTCTGCTGAAACTGAGGAGGACCTGAAGCACTTGCTGCAGAGGGTCAAGGACTGCAGCCTTCAATATGGATTGAAGCTCAACATCAAGAAAACAAAGATTCTTACCACTGGGTTGATTGACAGCATCACAATACAGGGCAGAGATTGAGATTGTTAATAGTTTCCGTTTGCTTGGCTCCACAATCAACACTCTTGGTACCAGCAGCCAGGAAATGAAAAGATGACTTGCACTGAGAATGTCTGCTGTCAGGGACCTCTACTCTGTACTGAAGAGTAAGGATGTCAGTCTGGAGACTTAAGGTGCACCTGATCCAGGCTATAGTCTTAACAATTTTTTGCTATGTGTTAGAAAGCTGGACAATGACTAGGAATGATAAAAGAAGAATTGATACATTTGAACTGTGGTGATAGAGAAGAGTATTGAATATATCATGCCCTGTAAGGAGAACAAACAGGTTCTTCCTAGAGAGGGTGAGACCAGGCTGCTCCTTGGAGGCAAGGATTCTAAACCTTAGTCTCACATACTTTAGACAGGTTGCAAGGAGGGACCAGTCCTTGGAGAGGGATGTCATGCTTGGATGGGTGGAGCGACAGTGCAAAACAGGAAGACCTTTGATGAGATGGATTGATTCAGTCACTGCGGTAACAGGGGTAGGTGTGTCATAGACAGTAAGATTGGCACAGGATAGAGCAGGGTTTAGGGCTGTTATACATAGGGTCGCTGTGAGTCACCAGCAACTTGATGGCATATAACAACAACAGACCAACAAGCTGTTGTCAGAACAGATTAGGGGAACACTGCATAGTTTAAAATCAGAAAGGGTGTGGGTAAAAGTTGTATTCTTTCTCCAGATTTAATCTGTATGCTAAGTAAATCATACGTCATCAGAATAGGAAGAAGACACATCAACACCTGCATTATGCAAAAGACAACCAACCTGGCTTGCTGAAAGAACCTGTAATGCTTATTGCAGAAGATAAAAGGAGTCAATGTAGTTTACATCTCAACATCAAGAAAATAAAGGTCCTTATCACTGGGCTAATAGGTAGCATCATATATGGAGAAAGGAGTGAAATTGTTGGTGATTAACTCTACTTGGAGCAACAGTCAAAAATACCCTTGGAAGCTCATGGGATCTCAGTATCAGGTGTCTTTTTATTTTGGAGAAGCTCACTCGCCTGGGATAGAGCTTCCAGCTCCTCATCAGTCTCTACATTACCAGCCTGCATCACCCACAGTTGCCATCCAGCCATGTCATAACCAGTAGTCTAAGATCCTGGCCCATCACACACCAGTTTCTCCAAAACTCATCTCCTACCTATGATCATGTGAGTCATTCCCCTAATCACTCTGAGAGATCTTCTAGAGAGTCATTGAACTGAAGGGAATCAAGGAGGTAGGAAACCAAGAAAATGAGGAGCCATTGATGTCAGGAATCATAAACTTAAAATAGCCATAAAATGCAGGTCAAGCATTTGGGACTATGCTGATCTAAGACTTATTATAAATGTTGTTGTTATGTGCCGTCGAGTCGTTTCCGACTCATAGCGACCCTATGCACAACAGCCCTAAACCCTGCTCTATCCTGCGCCAACCGCACCGCCTCTGACACACCCATCCCGATTACCCCAGTCACTGAATCAATCCATCTCATAGAGGGTCTTCCCCTCCTGCGCTGTCCCTCCACCCTCCCAAGCATGATGTCCCTCTCCAAGGACCCGCCCCTCCTGGCAACATGTCCAAAGTATGTCAGACGAAGCCCCAGAATCCTTGCCTCCAAGGAGTAGCTTGGTTTAATCCTCTCCAAGATGAATCTGTTTGTTTTCCTGGCAGTCCATGGTACATTCAGTACCCTTCTCCAGCACCACAGCTCAAAAGCATCCACTCTCCTTCTGTCCTCCCTAGTCATTGTCCAACTCTCTGATGCATAACAAGCGATTGT